AATGATGACGATGATGATGACAACGTCGATGATTACGATGACGATGATGATTACGATGACGACGATGATGATGTCAGCTGCCATAATTTGCGATGGGTAACGTCATGACGGACGCTTGTTGTGTTGCGCCCGAAACGTCGTTACTTATTTTGATTTGTCTACCCCCACGTGACTTTACCGGAAGAATCAAAGAGTTTGGGATTCCTGCAGTCACCAAAGCTTCAAACCAAGATTGAACGTATCACTTCGACGCACTCTCAGTATCATATACACACACACATGTGTATATATACATGTGTGTATATGTGTGTATATACATATGTTTAAATGTGTGTATATGTGTATAAATGTGTGTAGCTGTGTGTATATAGTGGGGAGCGGTAGTGTAGCGGTTAGCGCTACGCTGCGCTGTGAACCTGGCGACCCGGGTTCGATTCCCGCTCACGGCCAACACCACCAGTGACGATTATCTGAACCGGTCCCGGGCCTCCCCTAGGTCGACTCAGCCTCAAATGAGTACCTGGTGCGGTGTGTAAACATTGCCACTAGGGAGACAAAGGCGGTCGGGCGTGGTGCTGGCCACCCACCCCCTCGTGTACCGTTCCGGCCTTCATAGGTGCTCGCTAACAGCACTTGCCCCTACAGTCTGTTAATGCTATATGGGGGATCTTTGATCTTTGATATATGTGTGTGTATAGGTGTGTGTGTGTATATATGTGTGTCCGTGCAAAACAACCCCCTACCTCCTCGCGGTGCCGGACAGGAAACGCTGTCATGGACAGTGCTGCGGGGGGAGGGCCAATTCCGATTGGCCCCTCCTCTCATGGCGTCTGTGTCCACCACAGTGGCTAAACGGGGGCTCTGGACGGGTGCGAGGGGCTGGTAACCCCTCCACTTTCAACATTTTTACCACGAAACCACGAATAAAAAATGATTAATTAATAAGCTTGTGCCGGAGGCCCCGGTGGGACAGGCGTCTATGACGTCTCCTGGCCAAACCTCAATTGGCGGAGCCAGGAGATTCAATCTCTACCCTCGGGGCTCCTCCAGAAACAACGAAAAGCCACTACGGATGGCCACGTGGAATGTTCGAACGCTCACTGCGGAGGAGAGGCTGCCACTCCTCTGTCGGGAGCTGGACCGGTACCGCCTGGATCAATGTGGCATTCAGGAGGTCCGGTGGACCGGTTCTGGCTCCTGCCACCATGAGGGGTGGACAGTCCTCTACTCGGGGCAGCAGACTGCCAAACAACAGGGTGTGGCTCTTCTTTTGAACAAAAGAATGAAGGGGGCGTGGGAGCGTAGCGGTGAGGTGTGGGAAGCTGTAAGCCCCAGGCTACTTTGGGCTCGCCTTCCCATCAACCGGAGGCAAAGAGTGGTGGTCGCGGATGCGAGCCCATGTCCTTGACACCAGGACCTACCGTGGAGCTGATCTGCCCTCTGACCATCGACTAGTCATCTGTAAGATGCGCCTGCCATTCTTCCACTCTGGTGGTGGGTGTACACCCAGGACCCCATTGCAACATAGAGTGGTCTGGTCTCAGTTATCTGATGAAAGTTGCAAGCGAGAATTTCATCATCGCTTGCAGCTGGGATTGGCATCGTCCCCGACTCCTCCTGATGTCGAGGGTAAATGGGCGAGGTTTAGGACTGTGACTCATGCAGCTGCAATGGCTGCTTTGGGTACACGGTCCAGACCTCCCCAGAGACCCTGGCTGACAGAGGAGGTGTTCAGGATGGTTGAGAAAAAGCGACAGGCCCACTGTCATCGGCTACAGAATCCCACGTCAGAGAATGAGGAGGCTTACCGCAGCCTTCGCTCGGAGGTTCGGAGAGCCGTGAGGTGCTGCAAGGATAGGTGGTGGTCGCGGGTTGCTGAGGAGATGGAGTCTGCCTCAGTGGCCCGCAATCACAAATCTCTATTTAACTCCATCAAAAAAGTAACCTGCAGCGCCACACCTATTACCATCATTAGGGGAAAAAACGGTGATCCGTCCCCCAGGAACAGGTTTGCAGATTTGCTGAGCATTTCTGTGAGGTCCTGGGGGAGGTAAAATCCCTCAGCCAGGAAAACATCGTGGCACAAAGTGAGGATGACCCTGCTGAGGCTGCGGTGCCTCAAATATTCGAATAAGTCACCCCTGTGAGTGGCTGCCTGAAGTACCATCTATTGAGGAAGTACTGAAGGCGATCTGGAGTATGAGACCAGGAAAGGCAGCGGGCAGAGATGATCTCCCAAGCGAAATGCTGAGGGTGGCGTTTGTGCACAGACTGCCGTATATGACATCATAACAACAGTCTGGACCACTGGATGGGTTCCGCAGGATTGGAAGGATGCCCTGGTGGTCCCCCTCTTTAAGAAGGGGGACCGCACAGACTGTAACAACTACAGGGGCATCTCACTCCTCAGTGTGCCGGGAAAGGTCTTGGCAAGGATTATTCAACATCGCCTCGCCAGGCACGCTGAGGAGAGACTTGCGGAGCCCCAATGCGGTTTCAGGAAAGGGCGGTCCTGCACAGATGCCATATTTTCTGTCCGTCTGCTACAGCAGAGGTGTAGGGAAATCCAGCAAGACCTACATCTCTGCTTTATTGACCTGGTCAAGGCCTATGATACCATCAGTAGGCCTGGGCCTGGGTTGTTCTTCGTGCTTTTGGAGTCCCTGACCCTCTGCTCACGATCATTAAGGACCTTCATGATGGTGAGCGGGCCCGGGTAAAACTACGTGGCCGGGAGTCAAGAGCCATTCCCTGTACACCCTGGGGTGCGACAGGGATGTCCTCTGGCTCCCACATTATTTAACGTCTATTTTGACCACGTAGTTCGTGAAGCCTTCAATAGCTGCACCGGGGGAATCTCCATTTGGTACAGATATAATGGGAGGCTGATCGATGCCCGGGTGTGGTCAAGGGATGGCTCCCTATTGCTCAACCACGTTATGTATGCTGATGATTTGGTAATAGCTGCTCATTCAGAGGAGGAGTTGGAGACGCTGCTGCTGAGACTGGAGCGTGCCACTAAGAGATGAGGCCTTACCATCAGCCCCACCAAAACTAAGCACTTGCCTGGGTATTTTGTACCATTGGACACTCCACCCCCACAACTCCCAATCGGTGATGGGGCAGTTGTGGAGAGAGTGGACAGTTTCCCATACCTGGGCAGTATGCTTATGACCGGCTCCAGTTTAACATCAGAGGTCTCACTCTGAATCAGTCGAGCGGCAATATCTTTTCATCGGTTGCGTAACGCTGTGTGGAAGCTACCTGGTCTGTCGCTCCGCACTAAGCTTCAGGTCTTCTCGGCCACGGTCATTCCCTCCCTTCTCTACGCTTGCGAAACGTGGACCCCCTTAATGGAGCATCTTCGCCGGTTGGAAACATTTAGGCTGGCCTGCCTACGATCCATCCTGGGTTTAACCAGGCTGGATTGTGTGAGGAGCTCAAAAATCCTTGAAAGATCTGGGCAAGGTCCCATCGCTGAGCTCCTCCGGCATGCAAGGCTGCGTTGGCTGGGTCATGTAGCCCGCATGCCCAGCCACCGCATGCCGAAACAGCTTTTGCTCGGCCGGATCGAGGGGGCTAAACGGGCGCGGCACGGGCTAGAGAAGAGATGGAGTGATGTGGTACAGGAGGACGTGGAGCTGAGTGGACTTGCCGATGACTGGTACCAGCGGTGTCAAGATCGGCCTCTGTGGAGGAGGCTCGTGAAGGAGGCTATTGGGCAGTTGGAGGTAGTCGCCCTCCAACAGCAACGGAGGGCAGAGGAGCGATGCTCACAACAACGAGCGGAGCGCCGGGTGGCTAAAGCACAGCAGGTTGGCACAGTACGGGGCACAGGTGGTGCATCAGCCACTCATCTCAGTCAGTCGACCCGTGGCACCTGGATCTGCCCCGTGACCTCCTGCCCGCGGGCGTTAGACACTTCACGTGGCCTCAAGGTGCACATGGCCTGGCACAAGCGTTGTGGTGACGTCACCGCCACTTAGTGGCGAATGGCGGTTGTTGTATATATGTGTGTATGTGTGTGTGTATATATATGTGTGTGTGTATATATGTGTGTGTGTATATATGTGTGTATATATGTGTATATATGTGTATATATATGCTTGTGTATATGTATACAGGTTGTGTGTATATATATATAAAATAGGCAGATACAATTGTTGGATTGTAGCAAAAAGAAATAAAATCTTTACAATATTTTTTTACTAAGGACTATCTCTGTATGTCTCTGTGTCTCTCTGTGTCTCTGCGTGCGTCTCTGTGTCTCTCTCTTTGTGTCTCTGTGTCTCCCTCTGTGTCTGTGTGTCTCTCTTTGTGTCTCTGTGTCTCTCTGTGTGTCTCTGTGTCTCTCTCTGTGCATCTCTGTCTCTGTGTCTCTCTGTGTGTCTCTCTCTCTCCATCTGTGTGTCTCTTTGTCCCTGTCTGTGTCTCTCTCTGTGCATCTGTCTCTGTGTGTGTCTCTCTGTGTCTGTCTCTCTCCATCTGTGTGTCTCTTTGTCTTTGTCTCCGTCTCTCTCTGTGCGTCTGTCTCTGTGTGTCTCTCTCTCCATCTGTGTCTCTTTGTCTCTCTCTGTGAGTCTCTGTCTGTCTCTGTGTCTCTCTCTCTCCATCTGTGTGTCTCTGTGTCTCTGTCTGTGTCTCTCCCTGTGCGTCTCTGTCTCTGTGTGTCTCTGTGTGTCTGTCTCTCTCCATCTGTGTGTCTCTGTCTCTGTGTCTCTCTCTGTGCGTCTCTGTCTCTGTGTGTCTCTGTGTGTGTCTCTCTCTCCATCTGTGTGTCTCTGTGTCTCTGTCTGTGTCTCTCTCTGTGTGTCTCTGTCTCTGTGTCTCTGTCTCTGTGTCTCTGTCTCTGTGTGTCTCTCTGTGTGTCTCTCTCTCTCTCCATCTGTGTGTCTGTCTGTGTCTCTCTCTGTGCGTCTCTGTCTCTGTGTGTCTTTCTGTGTGTGTATCTCTCTCCATCTGTGTGTCTCTGTGCGTCTCTGTCTCCGTGTGTCTCTCTGCGTGTCTCTCTCTCTCCATCTGTGTCTCTGTGTCTCTCTCTCTCTGTGCATCTCTGTCTCCGTGTGCCGAAAACCCTCCACCACCCGACACGGCCCCAATCAGCAAGGGACGTTTCGCTGGCAATCGCGTCCGGCGACATCGCTCGATCTGCCGGAATGGCGAGGCCGTCCACCAAACCCCGCCTTCCGGCCTCAAATGGAGCGAGCGGGAGGACGACGTCATCGACGCGGGGGGGGGGGGGGGGGGGGAAACCCAATCGCGCAAAAAAATAATTTGATCGCGGGCGACATCCGGTGGCGAAAGCCCACCGTGAATCTTGACGCGTCTGCGGTCTCCTCGTCGCGACAGGAGAGAGCGAGGCGGAGGGTCAAAGGTCGCCCGCCGGCGTGACTTGCCACGGGAGGGCTGACTGGGCGCAGGGGGAGATTCATTCGCCTCCCCGTGGCTCCTGACGATGACGACGCTTGTGGTGGTGGTTGTGGTGGTGGTTGTGGTTGTTGTTGTTGTTGTGGTGGTTGTTGTGGTTGTTGTTGTTGTGGTGGTGGTTGTTGTGGTTGTTGTGGTTGTTGTTGTTGTTGTGGTTGTTGTTGTGGTCGCTCAGCTCCGGGAGGGTTTCCCAGTCCCACTCCGCATCTTCCTCCTCCTCCTCCCCGTCCAGGTCTACGTCGCACAAAGGATGAAGATCATCGGCGTCGTCGTCGTTGTTGTTGTCATCATCGTCGTCGTCATCATTGTCATCATCATCGTCGTCATCGTCGTCACTGTCATCATCGTCGTCATCGTCGTCACTGTCATCATCGTCGTCATCGTCGTCACTGTCATCATCGTCGTCATTGTTGTCATCATCGTCGTCATCATTGTCGTCATCGTCGTCGTCATCGTCGTTGTTGTCATCATCGTCGTCATCATCATCGTCGTCATCATCATCATCGTCATCGTCGTCATCATCATCATGGTCGTCATCATCGTCGTCGTCATCATCGTCATCGTCGTCATCATCATCGTCATCATCGTCATCGTCGTCATCATCATCATCATCGTCATCATCATCATCATCGTCGTCATCGTCGTCATCCTCATCGTCATCATCGTCATCGTCGTCATCATCATCATCATCATCGTCGTCATCGTCGTCATCATCATCGTCATCATCGTCATCGTCGTCATCATCATCATCATCGTCATCATCATCATCATCGTCGTCATCGTCGTCATCCTCATCGTCATCATCGTCATCGTCGTCATCATCATCATCATCATCGTCGTCATCGTCGTCATCCTCATCGTCATCATCGTCATCGTCGTCATCATCATCATCATCATCATCGTCGTCATCCTCATCGTCATCATCGTCATCGTCGTCATCATCATCATCATCGTCGTCGTCATCGTCATCGTCGTCATCATCATCATCATCGTCGTCATCGTCATCATCGTCGTCATCGTCGTCATCGTCATCATCGTCATCGTCACCCCTTCGGCGGTGGCCGTGGGCTACAAAATAGTGCGCTGGGTCACCGGGTTGGCAGCGCCCGACCACGGCACCACCGCTCCCCGCAGATCTCGCTCACAAAGCCAAAAGATCCCCCCCCACCGTGTAGCCTTCAACAGGCCGTCGGGGCAAGTGCCGTTGGCGAGTGGCAGCGCCGATGAATCCACGCTACACGAGGGGGTGGGTGGGTGGGTAGCACCACCTTTGTGGTGTTGTTTTTACCACACCGCTACTACACCAGCTACTCATTTGAGGCCGAGTCGGCCTAGGGGAGGCCCGGGACCGGTTCAGATAATCGTCACCGGCGGTGTTGGCCGTGAGCGGGAATCGAACACCGGGTCTCGGCAGGGTTCGTAGCGTGGTGGGCTCACATACACACACACACACACCTACACCCACACACTCAAACACACACACACACACCTACACACACACCCACACACACACCCACACACCCACCCACACACCTACACCCACACACACACCTATACCCACCCCCACACACACACCCACACACTCACACACCTATACCCACTCACACACACCCACACACACACCCACACACTCAAACCCACACACACCCACACACTTAAACCCACACACACACAACAACAACCGCCATTCGCCACTAAGTGGCGGTGACGTCACCACGACGCTTGTGCCAGGCTATGTGCACCCTGAGGCCACGTGAAGTGTCGAACGCCCGCTGGCAGGAGGTCACGGGGCAGACCCAGGTGCCACGGGTCGACTGACTGAGATGACTGGCTGATGCACCACCTGTGCCCCCTACTGTGCCAACCTGCTGTGCTTTAGCCACCCGGCGCTCCGCTCGCTGTTGTGAGCGTCGCTCCTCCGCCCTCCGTTGTTGTTGGAGGGCGACTGCCTCCAACTGCCCAGTAGCATCCTTCACGAGCCTCCTCCACAGAGGCCGATCTTGACACCGCTGGTACCAGTCATCGGCAAGTCCACTCAGCTCCACGTCCTCCTGTACCACATCACTCCATCTCTTCTCTAGCCCGTGCCGCGCCCGCTTAGCCCCCTCAATCCGGCCAAACAAAAGCTGTTTCGGCATGCGGTGGCTGGGCATGCGGGCTACATTACCCAGCCATCGCAGCCTTGCCTGCCGGAGGAGCTCACCGATGGGACCCTGCCCAGATCTTTCAAGGATTTGTGAGCTCCTCACACAATCCAGTCTGGTTAAACCCAGGATGGATCGTAGGCAGGCCAGCCTAAATGTTTCTAACCGGCGAAGATGTTCCATTAGGGGGGTCCACGTTTCGCAAGCGTAGAGAAGGGAGGGAATGACCGTGGCCGAGAAGACCTGAAGCTTAGTGCGGAGCGACAGACCAGGTAGCTTCCACACAGCGTTACGCAACCGATGAAAAGATATTGCCGCTCGACTGATTCGGAGTGAGACCTCTGCTGTTAAACTGGAGCCAGTCATAAGCACACTGCCCAGGTATGGGAAACTCTCCACTCTCTCCACAACTGCCCCATCACCAATTGGGAGTTGTGGGGGTGGAGTGTCCGATGGTACAAAATATCCAGGCAGGTGCTTAGTTTTGGTGGGGCTGATGGTAAGGCCCCACCTCTTAGTGGCACGCTCCAGTCTCGGCAGCAGCGTCTCCAACTCCTCCTCTGACTGAGCAGCTATTACCAAATCATCAGCATACATAACGTGGTTGAGCAATAGGGAGCCATCCCTTGACCGCACCCGGGCATCGATTAGCCTCCCATTATATCTGTACCATATGGAGATTCCCCCGGTACAGCTATTGAAGGCTTCACGAACTACGTGGTCAAAATAGATGTTAAATAATGTGGGAGCCAGAGGACATCCCTGTCGCACCCCAAGATGTACAGGGAATGGCTCTGACTCCCGGCCACGTAGTTTTACCCGGGCCCGCTCACCATCATGAAGGTCCTTAATGATCGTGAGCAGAGGGTCAGGTACTCCAAAAGCACGAAGAACAACCCAGAGCCCAGGCCTACTGATGGTATCATAGGCCTTGACCAGGTCAATAAAGCAGAGATGTAGGTCTTGTTGGAATTCCCTACACCTCTGCTGTAGCAGACGGACAGAAAATATGGCATCTGTGCAGGACCGCCCTTTCCTGAAACCGCATTGGGGCTCCGCAAGCCTCTCCTCAGCGTGCCTGGCAAGGCGATGCTGAATAATCCTTGCCAGGACCTTTCCCGGCACACTGAGGAGTGAGATGCCCCTGTAGTTGTTACAGTCTGTGCGGTCCCCCTTCTTAAAAGGGGGACCACCAGGGCATCCTTCCAATCCTGCGGAACCCGTCCAGTGGTCCAGACTGTTGTTATGATGTCATATAGGGCAGTCTGTGCACAAACGCCACCCTCCCTCAGCATTTAGCTTGGGAGATCATCTCTGCCCGCTGCCTTTCCTGGTCTCAGACTCCGGATCGCCTTCAATACTTCCTCAGCAGATGGCACCTCAGCCAGCCACTCACAGGGGGTGACTTCATCCAATATTTGAGGCACCGCAGCCTCAGCAGGGTCATCCTCACTTTGTGCCACGATGTTTTCCTGGCTGAAGGATTTTCCCTCCCCCAGGACCTCACAGAAATGCTCAGCAAATCTGCGAACCTGTTCCTGGGGGTCGGAAATTGGATCACCGTTTTTTCCCCTAATGATGGTAATAGGTGTGGCGCTGCAGGTTACTTTTTTGATGGAGTTAAATAGAGATTTGTGATCACGGGCAACTGAGACAGACTCCATCTCCTCAGCAACCCGCGACCACCACCCATCCTTGCAGCGCCTCACGGCTCTCCGAACCTCCGAGCGAAGGCTGCGGTAAGCCTCCTCATTCTCTGACGTGGGATTCTGTAGCCGATGACAGTGGGCCTGTCGCTTTTTCTCAACCATCCTGAACAACTCCTCTGTCATCCAGGGTGTCTGGGGAGGTCTGGACCGCATACCCAGAGCAGCCATTGCAGCTGCATGAGTCACAGTCCTAAACCTCGCCCATTTACCCTCGACATCAGGAGGAGTCGGGGACGATGCCAATCCCAGCCGCAAGCGATGATGAAATTCTCGCTTGCAACTTTCATCAGATAACTGAGACCAGGCCACTTTAGGTTGGAATGGGGTCCTGGGTGTACACCCACCACCGGAGTGGAAGAATGGCAGGCGCATCTTACAGATGACTAGTCGATGGTCAGAGGGCAGATCAGCTCCACGGTAGGTCCTGGTGTCAAGGACATGGGCTCGCATTCGCTGGTCCGTCACTATGTAGTCCAGCAGATGTTCTTGCTTGGACCCGGCATGCATCCATGATGTTGTGTGGATGCGCCGATGCCAGAACAGCGTGTTGGTAATTACAAGCCCATGGGCTGCACAAAAATCTAGCAGCCTCCTACCGTTGTTATTGAGCTGATCTGGCCCATGCCCTCCAATCACTCCAGACCAGGTGCCAGTATCATGACCAACTCGGGCATTGAAGTCACCCAACATGATGACTCTATCCCGAGGGGCCACTTTAGCCAGCACCTGTGACAGGAGGTCATAGAAGGCATCTGACTCATCGGCTTTGCCTGCATCCCTCCACGGATGTTCATCTTCAGTGGGGGCATAAGTAACCACGACCACCATTCCTCGCCTCCGGTTGATGGGAAGGCGAGCCCAAAGTAGCCTGGGGCTTACAGCTTCCCACACCTCACCGCCACGCTCCCACGCCCCTTTCATTCTTTTGTTCAAAAGAAGACCCACACCCTGTTGTTTGGCAGTCTGCTGCCCCGAGTAGAGGACTGTCCACCCCTCATGGTGGCAGGAGCCAGAGCCGGTCCACCGGACCTCCTGAATGCCGCATAGATCCAGGCGGTACCGGTCCACCCACACACACACACACCCACACACACACCTACACACACACCCACACACCTACACACACACCCACACACACCTACACACACACCTACACACACACCCACACACACACCCACACACCCACACCTACACCCACACACACACACCTATACCCACCCACAAACACACACCCACACACCCACACACACCCCCACACCTATACCCACCCACACACACCCACACACACACCCACACACACCCATACACACATCCACACACACACCCACACACACCCACACACACCCACCCACACAGCCAAACACACACACACCTATACCCACACACCCCCACACACCCCCACACACACCTACACACACACACACACCCAACCACACACACCCACACACACACCCACACACACACCTATACCCACCCACACACACACACCCACACACACACACACCCACACACACACCCACACACACCCACCCACACACACACCTACACACACCCACACACACACCTACACACACCCACACACACCCACACACCCACCTACACCCCCACCCAACCCAACCCACCCGGAAGCGAGATTTACCGAAGACGTCTCCTCGTGGGAACGCCTCCTCCTCCTCCTCCGCCTCCTCCACTGCTTCACCCTCCACCACCTCCTGCACGTCCACCTGCTGCACGTCCACCTGCTGCACGTCCACCTGCTGCACGTCCACCTGCTGCACGTCCACCTGCTGCACGTCCAGGGTCTGGCGCGTGGCGGGGGCCGGGCTGCTCACGGCCACCCTCTCCTGCGTCTCCATCCGCGGCTCAAATCTGCTCTCTGATCCTCCTCCTCCTCCTCCGCCTCCTCCTCCTCCTCCTCCTCCACCTCCTCCTCCGCCACCGCCCGTGAGCGGGAGATCGTTCTCCCCGGCGGCGGCGCTGCCCACGGCCGCCTCCGCGACCTCTCCCATCGCGACCTCTCCCATCGCGACCTCTCCCATCGCGACCTCTCCCATCGCGACCTCTCCCATCGCGACCTCTCCCATCGCGACCTCTCCCATCGCGACCTCTCCCATCGCGACCTCTCCCATCGCGTCGGCGCCCGGCGCTGCCACCGCCGCGGCCGGCCGGACAGTCCCTCCTGTCACGTGTGGGGGGGGGGGGGGGTGGGTGGGTGGGTGGGGAAGGTGGGTGGGGGTGGGTAAGGTGGGTGGGTAAGGTGGGCAAGGTGGTTGGGTGGGTACGGTGGGTGGTTGTGTGGGTGGGTAGGTGGGTGGGTAAGGTGGGTGGTTGTGTATGTGTAAGGTGGGTAAGGTGGGTGGGTAGGTGTGTAAGGTGTGTAAGGTGGGGTGGGTAGGTGTGTAAGGTGGGTAAGGTGGGTGTGTAAGGTGGGTAAGGTGGGTGGGTAAGGTGGGTGGGTGTGGGTAGGTGGTTGGGTGGGTAAGGTGGGTAGTTGTGTGTGTGTAAGGTGGGTAAGGTGGGTGGGTAAGGTGGGTGGTTGTGTGTGTGTAAGGTGTGTAAGGTGGGTGGGTAAGGTGGGTGGGTAAGGTGGGTAAGGTGGGTGGTTGTGTGTGTGTAAGGTGGGTAAGGTGGGTGGGTAAGGTGGGTAAGGTGGGTGGGTAAGGTGGGTAAGGTGGGTGGTTGTGTGTGTGTAAGGTGGGTGGGTAAGGTGGGTAAGGTGGGTAGGTAAGGTGGGTGGGTAAGGTGGGTGGTTGTGTGTGTGTAAGGTGGGTAAGGTGGGTGGGTAAGGTGGGTGGGTGTGGGTAGGTGGTTGGGTGGGTAAGGTGGGTAGTTGTGTGTGTGTAAGGTGGGTAAGGTGGGTGGGTAAGGTGGGTGTGTAAGGTGGGTGGGTAAGGTGGGTGGGTAAGGTGGGTGGGTAAGGTGGGTGGGTAAGGTGGGTGGGTGTGGGTGGGTAGATTACTGACGAAACGTCGTACTCGCATTGTAAGTGTTGTGGCTTTTCTCTCCAACACACCGGTGTACTGTACTAGTATACTACACTATACACTACATTACTATACATTACACTATACACTACTATGCACTACACTGTATACAACTATATACACTATACTACTACACACTACACTATACACAACTACACACTACACTATACACTACATTACTACACACTACACTATACACTACTACACACTACACTATATACAACTATACACTATACTACTACACACTACACTATACACTACTACACACTACACTATATACAACTATACACTACACTATACACTACAATACACTATACTACTACACTATACACTACTATGCACTACAATACACTAGTGCTATACTAGTATACACTATACACTACTATACACTACACTATACACTACTACACACTACACTATACACTCCTACACACTACAATATATACAACTATACACTACACTATACACTACTATACACTAGTGCTGTACTAGTATACTACACTATACACTACTATACACTACACTAATATACACTACACACTACACTACTATACACTACACTACAATACACTACTCTGTACACTGCACTACTATACACTACTATACACTACACTACAATACACTACACTACAATACACTACTATACACTACACTACTATACACTACACTACTATACACTACTATACACTGCACTATATACTACACTACTATACACTACACTACAATACACTACACTACAATACACTACACTACTCTGTACACTACACTACTATACACTACACTACTATACACTACACTACTCTATACACTATATACTACACTACTATACACTACTACACACTACACTACAATACACTACACTACTCTATACACTACACTACACACTACACGAGTGCTGTACCAGTAGTGAACCGGCACGTTTCCTGTTCACGCGACACCAAAACTTTACACGCCGGCCGTGTCGGGTGGTGGCGGGCTTGCCGACGGCACAACACTCCGAGATTCGCGCGTGCCAACCCAACGAGAATCCCCCGCGCGTATGGGCGACCTCTCCGGGACCGCCGCTGCGCTACAGGAGGGCGCTCCTCGCTACCGAGCAGGCGATTATTCGTCCCCTTCTGAGCCACATTCGGCCACCAAGCGACCGCGGCAAAACGACAAAAGCTCGGCCGAACGCTTCAAAAACACGCGGCGCGGCGCGGGGTTTGGGGGGGGGCGGTGGGCCCCCCACAGACTCGCACAGAGAGAGGCCCGTGGAGGTCGGGCGCAGGGGGAGGCTGAACTGGGACCTTGTCGACTTCGAATCGAAAAGTCGAAACGACGCGATGAATGCCAGGCTTGAGGCTCTTCGTGCCTGCAAGGGTCCGTCACACTGGTGGGTTCCATTCGGTGAAGCCACGCAGGTAAAAAAAAAAAACAATAAAACGACGAAAAAAATCGCCGCGACGTTTCGGCCGCAACGCCTTCATCAGCCGGCACAGGTCTGACCCCCTCCCTACCGTTCACCATGCCAAGCCCGCCTGTTAAAATGCAAAACATTTTTTTTAACGCTAATTCCTTTGTCAAGGCACCTTAATTACACTCTAACACACAGCTTAAATGGTCGCAGTCTGAGCTTAGCTCTGTTTCGCTCCAGCGCTGTCCTCGAGGCAGTCCGGGGTCCCTGCACTGTCCTTGAATTTGATTGGTCCACACCCGAGACGGCTTTTCTTTAGAGCCCTTTATAGTCTCACACATTGGTGTTGGACCAGAAGACGCCAAAAGGCGTACAACTCGATAAAACAGCGCACCATCAGAGTTATTGAGGGCTCGGGGTGAGCATTTACATTATGAGACCTCCTTTGCCAGAAACAGAGTTGTCTCTTTTTGTTTGCATTTTTGGACTGCTTGTGTTGTGGTTATTGCAAACACGATGCCTTGTATAATAAAGGTGTCAGTTTTTTGTGCCAGTTAAAAGGGGTAAAACCTATTCCTATTTCTTGTTTCTGGCAAAGGAGGTTTCATAATGTAAATGCTCACCCCGAGCCCTCAATAACTCTGATAGTGCGCTGTTTTTGAGTTGTACGCCTTTTGGCGTCTTCTGGTCCAACACCAATGTGTGAGACTAAGGTTCTCTAAGAAAAGCCGTCTCGGGTGTGGACCAATCAAATTCAAGGACAGTGCCAATATTATTATTATCAGAGTTGTCTCTTTTTTGTTTGCATTTTGACTGCTTGTGTTGTGGTTATTGCAAACACGATGCCTTGAATAAAGGTGTCAGTTTTTTGTGCCCGTTAAAAGGGGGGTAAAACCTATTACTATATCTTGTTTCTGGCAAAGGAGGTCTCATAATGTAAATGCTCACCCCGAGCCTTCAATAACTCTGATGGTGCGCTGTTTTTGAGTTGTACGCCTTTTGGCGTCTTCTGGTCCAACACCAATGGAGACTAGGCTCTAAGAAAAGCCGTCTCTGGTGTGGACCAATCAAATTCAAGGACAGTGCCAATATTATTATTATCAGAGTTGTCTCTTTTTTGTTTGCATTTTGACTGCTTGTGTTGTGGTTATTGCAAACACGATGCCTTGTATAATAAAGGTGCCAGTTTTTTGTGCCAGTTAAACGGGGGTCGAAACGTCCTGGTGATTTTTGCCGTTTTATTTTTCTACCTACGTGGTGGCTTTACCGAAATAGAAGCAAAGAGTAACAATGCGATGAGCAAAATCGCAAAGGCTGAGATTTTTTTCCGCGATTTCAAAAGTCCGACCTGCTTCCTTGATTTGACGCTTTCGTTACTACGGGAACCCAAACCCCTTGGTTCTTTCGCCAAAGCCATCACGTAGGGTAAATATAAAGTGATCATAAAGTTAGAATACTAAATAAAACAATTCCAATAAGCAATAGAAATAACATTAAACATTTTGAGAAATGAAACAACACGTTTCACTTCATTTCGTATTATTTCTATACATTTCTTATTGGAATTGTTTTATTTAGTGTTATTCTAACTTTATGATCACTTCATTTATTCAACGTAACAATTGCAACCACGTTTGATTGTTTCTAATTCGTATTCAAACATTTTAATAAAAAAAATACATGCTGGAAGCAATTAATACCTTTTAAGTTCTCGTCCCTTGCATTACAATACATAGAGCGGATCGTCTGCTGACCGAATCGTGTGGTAATGCTCCGTCACGTGTTTTAAATCTATTACACAGTCAACATTGAGCTGAAGATCGACTTTTAAAAAAAAAGTTTTCATCGCAAATCAAATCGCAAACATCTGTCAGAAAAATCGCGACCCGGGATATTTTCCCCAAATCGTTGAGCCCTCGTGTGCAGATTGTAAAAAAATGCGGAGGGCCACAGACTCGCATCGAGACCCAGAGGAAACAGCTGTTTCAACTACAAGCTATTTTGTTTAACCAGGTTAAGGCTCAACGAGCTACTTTGGCGATTTTTGTCAGAAGCGACCGGGCCATCTCAAATGACTGCGGCTTAAACCAAGTGGTTTAACAACATCAACATCATCATCATCGTCGTGTGGACATTCACAGCGGACAAATACCAACGCAGCACGTCGATTCTAAATGCGGAGGGAAAAACCACGTTGACTACCTCCTTCGCCTGGTACACAGGAGGGCGTGGGTTCGATCCAGACCCTGGCGATGCCTGCTGCTGCTGCTGTATATTTGGAGTCTGCGTCTCTCTCTCTCTCATCATCATCACGGTGACTAGGAGATGTTGACTACCTTCTTCGCCTGGTACACAGGAGGGCGTGGGTTCGATCCAGACCCTGACAATGCCTGCTGCTGCTGTACGTTTGGAGTCTGCGTCTCTCTCTCTCTCATCATCACCACGGTGGCTAGGAGATGTTGACTACCTCGCCTGGTATTCAGGAGGTCGTGGGTTCGATCCAGACCCTGACGATGCCTGCTGCTGCTGTATATTTGGAGTCTGCGTCTCTCTCTCTCATCATCATCATCATCACGGTGGCTAGGAGATGTTGACTACCTCGCCTGGTATTCAGGAGGTCGTGGGTTCGATCCAGACCCTGACGATGCCTGCTGCTGCTGTATATTTGGAGTCTGCGTCTCTCTCTCATCATCATCATCACGGTGGCTAGATGTTGACTACCTCGCCTGGTATTCAGGAGGTCGTGGGATCGATCCAGACCCTGACGACGCCTGCTGCTGCTGTATATTTGGAGTCTGCGTATCTCTCTCATCATCATCACGGTGGCTAGGAGATGTTGACTACCTCGCCTGGTTTACAGGAGGTCGTGGGTTCGATCCAGACCCTGATAATGCCTGCTGCTGTATATTTGGAGTCTGCGTCTCTCTCTCTCTCTCATCACCACGGTGGCTAGGAGATGTTGACTACCTCGCCTGGTTTACAGGAGGTCGTGGGTTCAATCCCAGACCCTGAGAGATGTTGACTACCTTGCTTGGTACACAGGAGGTCGTGGGTTCAATCCCAGACACTGAGAGATGTTGACTACCTCGCCTGGTACACAGGAGGTCGTGGGTTCAATCCCAGACACTGAGAGATGTTGACTACCTCACCTGGTACACAGGAGGTCGTGGGTTCAATCCCAGACACTGAGAGATGTTGACTACCTCACCTGGTACACAGGAGGTCGTGGGTTCGAACCAGACCCTGACGATGCCTGCTGCTGCTGCTGTATATTTGGAGTCTGCGTCTCGCTCCCCAAGGTGGTCACTGTGTGTATTTATTTCTCCCACATTGAGAATCGCGGTTCGCACAGCCATCAACCACGGCGCTCGCATCGACCCCACCTGTAGCGTTGAGTGGAACCTGTAACTCCTTCGTCTCTTCTCCCTCCGCAAACGGCTTCACTGCAAAGGCAAAGGGAGGGGGACGCGATGATGTCATCATCGTCGTCGTCATCATCGTCCTCATCGTTATCGTCATGATCGTCGTCATCGTCGTCATCGTCGTCGTCGTCATCGTCCTCATCGTTATCGTCATGATCGTCGTCATTATCATCATCATCATCGTCATCATCGTCGTCATCATCATCGTCGTCATCATCGTCGTCATCATCGTCATCATCATCATCGTCATAATCATCATCGTCATCATCATCGTCATCATCGTCGTCATCATCATCGTCGTCGTCGTCATCATCGTCGTCATCATCATCATCATCGTCATAATCATCATCGTCATCATCGTCATCATCATCATCGTCATCATCGTCATCGTCATCATCATCATCATCATCGTCGTCGTCATCATCGTCGTCGTCGTCATCGTCGTTGCCATCATCCTCATCTTCACCATCATCATCACCGTCACCGTGCGTGCATTGAACTTAATCCGCACCGCACGGAGCCGACCGTGCTGATAATTATCGGAGGAGGTGGCGGGAAAACAACAACAACACAAACCAACAACGTGGGCGGTGTCCGGCCGTCTTCACCCGCCACCGAGCACACCCCCCACTCTCAACGCTCCGCTCGCTCTCTCGCTCGCTCGCTCTCACGCTCTCTCGCTCGCACGCACGCCAACTCTCCAGCACACAACGCCGGCCCGTCCACCGGCGCCGACGCCGCTGAACCAAACGACAGCCCGCGGAACCTTCCGGACTTGAAGCTTTCGCGGCCGCGAGGGTTTCACGCCCGTTGGGAGTTTTGAGTTTTTTGTTTTTGTTTTGGGAATTCGCCAAGAGTCACGCGAGAGTGGAATGGAATGAATCGCGACGTTTCCGAGTCAACGCAAGCTTCCGTCTTCAGGTGGAACAGCTGCGTCAAGTGAAGAGCTCTCCGAGACACCTCCACCCACCCCTCCACCCACCCCTTAACCAGCCTACCACCGCCCGGCAGCGCTGCGTCGAGCGACGCCGACGATCTGCAGCAGCTTCGACCATGATGAAGCCGGTCGTGGCTGCAAGGATTCATCCTCTCGTTGGTTCTTTCGGCTAAAAAGTCACCGCCACGTGGAATGGGAGCAGAAGAATGAATTGATGAAATAAAATGACGCGGTAAAATTCTCACGGCGTTTCGGCCACAAACACAATGAAGGCCTTCATCAAAATAAAATAACGCGGTAAAATTCTCACGGCGTTTTGGCCACAAACATAATGAAGGCCTTCATCATGTGTTCGTTGGCCGAAACGTGGTGAGAATTTAACCGCGTTATTTTATCTGATCAATTTATTATTTAGTTCTCATTCCACGTGGTGGTGACTTTTACCGAAAGGACCGAAGAAGATGAATCCTTGCAGTCACGAAAGCTTTAAATCGAAGCCTAGCTGATTGTTTAGGATGCAACAGCTTACAGTATCGTCCCTTCACCTGATGAAGGCCGCTTGCGTTGAGGCCGAAAACGTCGTGAGAATTTTACCGCGTTATTTTATTTGATCAATTTATTATTTTGTTCTCATTCCACGTGGTGGTGACTTTTACCGAAAGGACCGAAGAAGATGAATCCTTGCAGTCACGAAAGCTTTAAATCGAAGCTCAGCTGATTGTTTAGGATGCAACAGCTTGCAGTATCGTCCCTTCACCTGATGAAGGCCGCTTGCGTTTGTGGCCGAAAATGTCGTGAGAATTTTACCGCGTTATTTTATCTGAACCATTTATTATTTAGTTCTCATTCCACGTGGTGGTGACTTTTACCGAAAGGACCGGAGAAGATCTTCAGCAGCCCCGAGGGTCCCTTCCCGGGGGCCCCTCCTACACCGTGGAACGTCCTCACGGGGCTATCGGCGAGTTCCTTCCGTTGCCTCTCCCCGAGAGGCCTCTGGCGTCTGTCACGTGGCTCGCCGCTGTCAGTCGGGGCTGCTGTAAGCTGCTCCCCCTTCCCTGCCTGTAGCCAGCGCCATGTTACTAAGTGTTACTAAGTGTCACTACACATACAGTGTGGAGTGTGTGGGTAGTGTGGAGTCTGTGGGTAGTGTGGAATGTGTGGGTAGTGTTGAGTCTGTGGGTAGTGTGGAGTCTGTGGTGCAGTGTTGAGTCTATGGTGCAGTGTTGAGTCTGTGGGTGGCAGTGTTGAGTCTGTGGGCAGTGTTGAGTCTGTGGGTGGCAGTGTTGAGTCTGTGGGTGGCAGTGTGGAGTCTGTGGGCAGTGTTGAGTCTGTGGGTGGCAGTGTTGAGTCTGTGGTGCAGTGTGGAGTCTGTGGGCAGTGTGGAATCTGTGGTACAGTGTGGAGTCTGTGGTGCAGTGTTGAGTCTGTGGGTGGCAGTGTGGAGTCTGTGGGCAGTGTGGAATCTGTGGTGCAGTGTTGAGTCTATGGTGCAGTGTTGAGTCTGTGAGCAGTGTTGAGTCTATGGGCAGTGTTGAGTCTATGGGCAGTGTTGAGTCTATGGTGCAGTGTTGAGTCTATGGTGCAGTGTTGAGTCTATGGGCAGTGTGGAGTCTATGGGCAGTGTGGAGTCTGTGGGCAGTGTTGAGTCTATGGGCAGTGTTGAGTCTGTGGGCAGTGTTGAGTCTGTGGGCAGTGTTGAGTCTGTGGGCAGTGTGGAGTCTGTGGGGAGTGTTGAGTCTGTGAGCAATGTGGAGTCTGTGGGCAGTGTTGAGTCTATGGTGCGGTGTTGAGTCTATGGGCAGTGTTGAGTCTATGGGCAGTGTGGAATCTGTGGGTAGTGTGGAATCTGTGGGTAGTGTGGAGTCTGTGGGCAGTGTTGAGTCTATGGGCAGTGTTGAGTCTATGGGCAGTGTTGAGTCTATGGGCAGTGTGGAATCTGTGGGTAGTGTGGAGTCTGTGGGCAGTGTTGAGTCTATGGGCAGTGTTGAGTCTATGGGCAGTGTGGAATCTGTGGGTAGTGTGGAGTCTGTGGGCAGTGTTGAGTCTATGGGCAGTGTTGAGTCTATGGGCAGTGTTGAGTCTATGGGCAGTGTTGAGTCTGTGGGCAGTTTTGAGTCTATGGGCAGTGCTGAGTCTATGGGCAGTGTTGAGTCTATGGTGCAGTGTTGAGTCTATGGGCAGTGTTGAGTCTGTGGGCAGTTTTGAGTCTATGGGCAGTGCTGAGTCTATGGGCAGTGCTGAGTCTATGGGCAGTGTTGAGTCTATGGTGCAGTGTTGAGTCTATGGGCAGTGTTGAGTCTGTGGGCAGTGTGGAGTCTGTGGGCAGTGTTGAGTCTGTGGGCAGTGTGGAGTCTGTGGGCAGTGTTGAGTCTATGGGCAGTGTTGAGTCTGTGGGTAGTGTTGAGTCTATGGGTAGTGTTGAGTCTATGGGCAGTGTTGAGTCTATGGGCAGTGTTGAGTCTGTGGTGCAGTGCTGAGTCTGTGGGTAGTGTTGAGTCTGTGGGTAGTGTTGAGTCTATGGTGCAGTGTTGAGTCTATGGGCAGTGTTGAGTCTGTGGGTAGTGTTGAGTCTATGGGCAGTGTTGAGTCTATGGGCAGTGTTGAGTCTATGGGCAGTGTTGAGTCTATGGGCAGTGTGGAGTCTGTGGGCAGTGTTGAGTCTATGGGCAGTGTTGAGTCTGTGGGTAGTGTGGAGTCTGTGGGCAGTGTGGAGTCTGTGGGCAGTGTTGAGTCTATGGTGCAGTGTGGAGTCTGTGGGTAGTGTTGAGTCTATGGTGCAGTGTGGAGTCTGTGGGTAGTGTTGAGTCTGTGGGCAGTGTGGAGTCTGTGGGCAGTGTGGAGTCTGTGGGCAGTGTGGAGTCTGTGGGCAGTGTTGAGTCTATGGGCAGTGTTGAGTCTGTGGGTAGTGTTGAGTCTATGGGCAGTGTGGAGTCTGTGGGCAGTGTTGAGTCTATGGTGCAGTGTGGAGTCTGTGGGTAGTGTGGAGTCTGTGGGCAGTGTTGAGTCTGTGGGCAGTGTTGAGTCTGTGGGCAGTGTTGAGTCTGTGGGCAGTGTGGAGTCTGTGGGCAGTGTTGAGTCTGTGGTGCAGTGTTGAGTCTTTGGGCAGTGTTGAGTCTATGGTGCAGTGTGGAGTCTGTGGGCAGTGTGGAGTCTGTGGGCAGTGTTGAGTCTGTGGGCAGTGCTGAGTCTATGGTGCAATGCTGAGTCTATGGGCAGTGTTGAGTCTATGGTGCAGTGTGGAATCTGTGGGCAGTGTTGTGTCTATGGTGCAGTGTTGAGTCTGTGAGCAGTGTTGAGTCTGTGGTCAGTGCTGAGTCTATGGGCAGTGAAAAATCCACGCCGTGACCACCACAGTGAGAGACGGAGAGAGACACGGCCAGTGCTAGGATCGAACCTGCGACCTCCCGCACAGGGGCGGAGCCAGGATTTCAGGCCGGGGTGACAATCAACAAATGTTAACTTCAAGAATGATTTAGAGTCAGGCTGTTGAGCCAGCCGCCATCAGTTGGCGGCCGAGTGTCGTACACTTACACGCAGAATGTCACCCTCCCTGTCACCCTCCCTGTCACCCTCCCTGTCACCCTCCCTGTCACCCCCCCTGTCACCCTCCCTGTCACCCTCCCTGTCACCCCCCCCTGTCACCCCCCTGGCTCCGCCCCTGCTCCTGCATACCAGGCGAGGGAGTTAACATCTCCCTCGCCACCGTGCCGTTAGCCCCAACCCACCGGCGGCTACACCGCACGTCACCCCTCCTGTCACCGCTCCTGTCACCCCTCCTGTCACCCTGTGTGTCACCCCTCCTGTCACCCCTCCTGTCACCCCGTGTGTCACCCCGTGTGTCACCGCTCCCGTCACCCCTCCCGTCACCCCTCCCGTCACCCCGTGTGTCACCCCTCCCGTCACCCCTCCCGTCACCCCTCCCGTCACCCCGTGTGTCACCCCGTGTCACCCCTCCTGTCACCCCTCCCGTCACCCCGTGTGTCACCCCCTCTGCTCACCGTGTGTCACCCCTCCCGTCACCCCTCCTGTCACCCCTCCCGTCACCCCGTGTGTCACCCCTCCCGTCACCCCGTGTGTCACCCCCTCTGCTCACCGTGTGTCACCCCTCCTGTCACCCCTCCCGTCACCCCTCCTGTCACCCCTCCTGTCACCCCTCCCGTCACCCCTCCCGTCACCCCTCCCGTCACCCCTCCCGTCACCCCTCCCGTCACCCCGTGTGTCACCCCTCCCGTCACCCCGTGTGTCACCCCCTCTGCTCACCGTGTGTCACCCCGTGTGTCACCCCTCCTGTCACCCCGTGTGTCACCCCGTGTGTCACCCCGTGTGTCACCCCGTGTGTCACCCCGTGTGTCACCCCGTGTGTCACCCCCTCTGCTCACCCGTGCAGTTGAGGCCGTTCCCCCGGTAGCCAGGCTTGCAGTGGCAGCGGAAGGAGCCGTGGGTGTTGAGGCACTCGGCCTGGGGGCTGCACTCCGGCCCCGCTCCCTCGCACTCATCCACGTCTGGCGGAGAGGGGGAGGGGGAGGGTGGGAGAGGGTGGGGAGGGACGAGGGTGAAGAGGGGGAGGTGAGGGTGGGTGAGCAGGGAGGAGGGAGTGGAGGAGAGGGAGGGAGGTAGGGAGGGGGTAGGGAGGGGGGAGGTAGGGAGGGAGGGGGGGAGGGAGGGAGGGGGGGAGGGAGGTAGGGAGGGAGGGAGGGAGAGGGGGAGGGAGGGAGGGAGGTAGGGAGGGGGGTAGGGAGGGAGGGAGAGAGGGAGGGAGGGAGGTAGGGGGGGAGGGAGGGAGGTAGGGAGGGAGGGAGAGGGGGAGGGAGGGGGGGAGGGAGGGGGGGGAGGGAGGGGGGAGGAAGGGAGGAGAGGGAGGGAGGGAGAGGGGGGAGGGAGGGAGAGGGGGGAGGGAGGGAGGGAGGGAGAGGGGGAGGGAGGGGGGGAGGGAGGGGGGAGGAAGGGAGGAGAGGGAGGGAGGGAGAGGGGGGAGGGAGGGAGAGGGGGGAGGGAGGGAGGTAGGGAGGGAGGGAGGGAGGGAGGTAGGGAGGGAGGGAGGGAGGTAGGGAGGGAGGGAGGGGGAGAGGGGGAGGGAGGGAGAGGGGGGAGGGAGGGAGGTAGGGAGGGAGGGAGGGAGGGAGAGGGGGGAGGGAGGGAGGGAGAGGGGGGAGGGAGGGAGGGAGGTAGGGAGGGAGGTAGGGAGGGAGGGAGAGGGGGGAGGGAGGGAGGGAGGGGGGGAGGGAGGGAGGTAGGGAGGGAGGGAGGAAGAGGGGGAGGGAGGGGGGGAGGGAGGGGGAGGAAGGGAGGAGAGGGAGGGAGGGAGAGGGGGGAGGGAGGGAGGGAGGGAGGGAGGGAGGAAGGGAGGGAGGGAGGGAGAGGGGGGAGGGAGGGAGAAAGGGGGAGGTGAGGGAGGGAGGGAGGGGGGGAGGTGAGGGAGGGAGGTGAGGTGGGGGTGTACCTGAGGTGAATCACAACTCCGTCGCTATCAGCGGTGTTGGTGGCCGTGAGTGGGAATCGGGTCGCCGGGGTCGTAGCGCGGCGCTAACCACAACACCACCACTCCCCACCACTCCCCACCACTCCCCACCACTCCCCACCACTCCCCACCACCACCACCACCAACTTACCCACCCACCCACCCACCCCACCCACCCACCCCACCCACCCCACCCACTTCCTCTCACCCGTGCACTGGAACCTGCCCCCGCTGTAGCGAAGGTCGAAGCCGTCCTGGCACTTGCACAGGAAGCTGCCGAAGGTGTTGACGCACTTCCTGTCGGGCGGACACACGGCCCTGGGAGAGCGACACTCGTTGATGTCTGCGGACGACAACACGGACGACACGCGTGTACAACACATGTGTTGTACACGCGTGTTGTACACATGTGTACAACACGCGGACGACACGCGGACAACACATGTGTACAACACGTGGACGACACGTGTGTACAACACGTGGACAACACGTGGACAACACGCGGACGACACATGTGTACAACACGCGGACAACACGTGGACGACGAGACGTGGAAACACGGACGACGACACACGGACACACGAGAGAGGGCCGTGTGTTGGTGATGACCGTGGTGGTGGTGATGGGCGTGGTGGTGGTGATGGGCGTGGTGGTGGTGGTGGCCGTGGTGGTGGTGATGGCCATGGTGGTGGTGATGGGCGTGGTGGTGGTGATGGGCGTGGTGGTGGTGGTGGTGATGGGCGTGTGGTGGTGATGGGCGTGTGGTGGTGGTGATGGCCGTGTGTTGGTGATGGGCGTGTGGTGGTGATGGCCGTGTGGTGGTGATAGCATGATGATGATGACGATGATGATAACAACGATGAAGATGATGATAACAATAATGATGACAATGATGATGATGATAACAATGACCAAGATGACAATGGTGATGACAACGATGGTGATAATGATAACAATGACGACGATGACAATGGTGATGGCAATGGTGATGACAATGATGATGATAACAATGACGACGATGACAATGGTGATGACAATGATGATGATAACAATGACGATGATGACAATGGTGATGACAATGATGATGATAACAATGACGACAATGACAATGGTGATGATAACAATGACAATGGTGATGACAATGATAACAATGACGACGATGACAATGATGATGACAACGGTGATGATAACAATAACGACGATGACAATGACAATGATAACAATAACGACGATGACAATGATAATGACAATGACAACAATGACGACGATGACAATGATGATAACAATAACGACGATGACAATGATGATGATAACAATAACGACGATGACAATGATGATGACAATGATGATAATGATAACAATGACGACGATGACAATGATGATAACAATAACGACGATGACAATGACAATGATAACAATAACGACGATGACAATGATAATGACAATGACAACAATGACGACGATGACAATGACAACAATGACGACGATGACAATGGTGATGACAATGATAACAATGACGACGATGACAATGATGATGATAACAATGACGACGATGACAATGACAATGATAACAATGACAATGATAACAATGACGACGATGACAATGATAACAATAACGACGATGACAATGATAATGACAATGACAACAATGACGACGATGACAATGGTGATGACAATGATAACAATGACGACGATGACAATGATGATGACAACAATGACGACGATGACAATGACAATGATAACAATGACAATGATAACAATGACGACGATGACAATGACAATGATAACAATAACGACGATGACAATGATAATGACAATGACAACAATGACGACGATGACAATGACAACAATGACGACGATGACAATGGTGATGACAATGATAACAATGACGACGATGACAATGATGATGATAACAATGACGACGATGACAATGACAATGATAACAATGACAATGATAACAATGACGACGATGACAATGATAACAATAACGACGATGACAATGATAATGACAATGACAACGATGACGACGATGACAATGGTGATGACAATGATAACAATGACGACGATGACAATGATGATGATAACAATGACGACGATGACAATGACAATGATAACAATGACAATGATAACAATGACGACGATGACAATGACGATGACAATGACAACAATAACGACGATGACAATGATGATGACAATGACAATGATAACAATGACGACAATGACAATGGTGATGACAATGACAACAATGACAACGATGACAATGATGATAACAATGACGACGATGACAATGGTGATGACAATGATGATGATAACAATGACGATGATGACAATGGTGATGACAATGACGATGATAACAATGACGACAATGACAATGGTGATGATAACAATGACAATGGTGATGACAATGATAACAATGACGACGATGACAATGATGATGACAACGGTGATGATAACAATAACGACGATGACAATGACAATGATAACAATAACGACGATGACAATGATAATGACAATGACAACAATGACGACGATGACAATGATGACAACAATAACGACGATGACAATGATGATGATAACAATAACGACGATGACAATGATGATGACAATGATGATAATGATAACAATGACGACGATGACAATGATGATAACAATAACGACGATGACAATGACAATGATAACAATAACGACGATGACAATGATAATGACAATGACAACAATGACGACGATGACAATGACAACAATGACGACGATGACAATGGTGATGACAATGATAACAATGACGACGATGACAATGATGATGATAACAATGACGACGATGACAATGACAATGATAACAATGACAATGATAACAATGACGACGATGACAATGATAACAATAACGACGATGACAATGATGATGACAATGACAACAATGACGACGATGACAATGGTGATGACAATGATAACAATGACGACGATGACAATGATGATGACAACAATGACGACGATGACAATGACAATGATAACAATGACAATGATAACAATGACGACGATGACAATGACAATGATAACAATGACGACGATGACAATGATAATGACAATGACAACAATGACGACGATGACAATGACAACAATGACGACGATGACAATGGTGATGACAATGATAACAATGACGACGATGACAATGATGATGATAACAAGACGACGATGACAATGACAATGATAACAATGACAATGATAACAATGACGACGATGACAATGATAACAATAACGACGATGAACAATGATTTAATGACAATGACAACAATGACGTACGATGACCAATGAGTGATGGACCAATGATAACCATGACGGACGATGACAATGATGATGACAACAATTGACCGTACGGATGACAATGACAATGATAACACTAACGACCGATTGACAATGATAATGCACAATGACAACAATGACGGACGATGACAATGACAACAATGACGACGATGACACTGGTGATGACAATGATAAACAATGACTACGATGACAATGATCATGATAACAACTGGACGACGATGACACTGACAATGATAACAATGACAATGATAACAATGACGACGATGACAATGATATACAATAACGCTGATGACAATGATAATGACAATGCAAACAATGACGACGATGACAATGGTGATGAACAATGATAACAATGACGACCGATGGCCAATGATGATGATAACACTGACGATCAGATGACAATGACACTGATAATCAATGAACAATGATAACAATGACGACGATGACAATGACAATGATAACAATAACGACGTCATGACAATGATAATGACAATGACAACAATGACGACGATGACAAATGGATCATGGTGATTGACAATGACGACGATGATGATGATAACAATGACGACGATGACAATGACAATTGATAACAATGACAATGATAACAATGACGACGATGACAATGACAATGATAACAATAACGACGATGACAATGATAATGACAATGACAACAATGACGACGATGACAATGACAACAATGACGACGATGACAACTGGTGATGACAATGACGACGATGACAATGGTGATGACAATGATGATGATAACAATGACGATGATGACAATGGTGATGACAATGACGAT